ACCATTTACAAAAAAAAAAACGCGCTGCGAATGCATATTTTAGTGTTTTTTTTTTTTTGGGGGGGGAACTACGTTCTTCTATGTTGTTGCGCTATGTCTGCCCCCATAGCGTTTGTTGTATTATTTTCTGTTTGCCCGGCGCTTTGCGATGCCGGCGCTTGCCAAGCGCGTTGCGCTGCATGCGCTTCGCCCCCCTTCCAACCAAACGCATTTCGCTTCAGTTTGAATTCAGTCATGCGCTTCGCGCTTGCATGTGCTCAGTTCAATCAAGCGCTTTGCGCTCCAGTGTAGAAGCGCGTTGCGCTCCATTCTGGATTCCAAACGCGTCGCGATCCGCTATAATTAAGCGCGTTGCGCTCCATTTGTGTTTATCACAAATGTCCCCTTCGCATAGGCGCCATAGCGCTGTCTTATTCTTCTCCTTCCTCTCCTCCTCTTCCCCCTCCTCCTCCTCTTCCTCCTCCTCCCCCTCATCCCCCTCCTCCTCCCTCTCCTCGCCCCCGCATGCGCGCGGCGCTGCCCACTTCAGCGCAAAGCGCTGTCGCGCGCACTGCCGCCGTTTCGGCCCGAGCGCGCGCGCGCGCTGCCGCGCGGCCTCCGCGGGGCTAGCGACTCGTTTTGGGCGGCGTCCGCGGCCCGTGGAGCCCGGCCGAGGGCCGCGGCGCCATGGGGGATCTATACAAGGATCTGTTTGGCCCGCCCTGGGGCGACAACGCCGCTTCTGCAGCGGGCCCCAGCGAGCGCGCGCGCCACCGCTTTTGAGGTCCAGGCAAACGCGCTCAGATCGTCTGCGAGTTCGGCGACGGCCACCCTGATTTCGACTGAGGCGTCAGACCTTCCGGCGCTCAGAGCGCATGTGGGCTTCGCTGCGAGCGATTGGGCCGCTGTTGTCGAGTCGCTGAACGCCGCCGTCAAGAAGGGGAATATGAAGGAGACGAAGAAACGGAACCCGATGCAGGATGCCAGGGCGGTTTCAGGCTACTTCGCAGAGGCCGACTGGGGCGCCGTGTCGAACCAGCGGGGGCGGCCGCTAGAAGTCAGGGAGGTCCTCGATCAACCGCGTGGCGGCCGTGGGGGCGAGGGCGCCGTCGGAGGATGCGAAGCGCATGCTGTCGGCATGCCAGATCCTGCAGACAGAGGGCATGAAATCGCACGTCAGCCAGGCGAAGGAGATCCAGACGTTTGACGCACTCAAGAGCGTCTGGAAAGCACGGGGGCGATGGGGCGCAGACCCCCATCGAGATCATCGAGGTGTTGCCGCCGCCCCCATCGCAGCACAAGGAAAAGTACCCCGCGACCTCCGCCCGAGCCCACGCCGACGGGCGCCTGCCGTCGCAAGGCCAGTCGGAGACAGCAGGTGCAGCTTCAGGTGCCTGCCAAACATGGCGCCCCAGCCGCCCTGGGTCTGCTTGAGCCAGCGGTGGCGAACAACCACAGGTGCGAACCACGCGTTGTCATTGCGAATGTTGTGCACCCCAAGCTCCAGGACCGTGAACGAGAAGTCCATGCCCATCCTGCCGTCGCCGACGCTGGACACGCCGCCAGGGCTGAACTCGCCATGCCCGATAACCAGTGTCCACGGACGCTCTGGGCTCGGAGCACCACGTCGCCGCAGCGCGGCCGCGAACAACTCTTGCAGCGCTCCGCTCTCTTGGGCTCCGCCAGGGGCCAGCTCCAGCTTCCGCCGCTCGCCAGCGGCATGTTCGACCCGTGGCGGACGCGCTCGAGCCGTTCACGGTTCGTCCTGTTGCCCCGTTGCCTCGGCGGGTAAGTCCGCCGCCACCTCGCGGATCGCCCCCAGCATCTTCGAGGGCCCCTGCTGCGTCGCGCGCCCGCGATGGAGGAGCTCTCGCAACGCATTTCGACCCCGACAAACCCTGAGGAGGGGGCGGGGGGGGAGGAAAAGGGGGGGTCGGGGAGGAGGAGGAGAGGGGGGATGATGAAGAGGAGGACGGGGCCTCGATCGAGAGCGATACCTGGCGCCCGTCGGCGCCATGCCGCCGGGGCGCAAGCGCCGTGGCGCTGGAGGGCCATGCCGCCGCGCCCTTGGCGCGGCGCTGGAGCGCAAACGCTTGGGCCAGGAAGCGGTTGCGGACGGGAACAGCGCGAGGCGCTGAATGCGGCAGGAGCAGCGCAAGCGCTGGGTGGGGGAGGGACAGCCCAAACGCTGGAGGAACAGCGTAAAGCGCTGCAGGAGGGAGGGGCGGCTCAAGCGCCGGTGGGGGAACAGCGCGTGCGCTGGATGGGGGGAGGAGCAGCGCGAAGCGCTGGAGGGGGGAGAAGCAGCGCAAAGCGCTGGAGGAGGGAGGAGCAGCGCAAGCGCTGGCGCGGGAAAAGCGCAAGCGCTAGATGGGGAGAGGAGCAGCGCAAAGCGCTGGAAAAGGGGGGGAGGAGCAGCGCAAAGCGCTGGACGGGGAGAGGAGCAGCGCAAGCGCTGGTGGGGGAACAGCGAAAGCGCTGGGGGAGGAGCAGCGCAAATCGCTGGATAGTGCCAAATATAAAGCGCCGGTGGGGGAACAGCGCAAGCGCTGGGGGGATGGGAACAGCGCGAAGCGGAGCAGCGCAAAGCGCTGGATAGTGCCAAAAGCATGATAACATGAAGCGCTGGCAGCGCAAACCGCTCGAGGAAAAAACACATCAATGCAACGCTATGGGGGGCAGACATAACGATTTTTTTAAACAAACAAAAAATGGAAGTTGTAGAGAACCTGCGGTCGCAGCGTATGTTTTTGATTTACCAAAAAGTTGGAACGCATTTTTTCAAGAACGAACTAGAACGCAACTTCCACAATTAGAGCCGCTCCCAAGCCTAACTTCCACAACTAGAACCATTGTAAAACCGCTTCAAACAAACAAAGAAAACTAGCTTCCGTATTTTCCACAACTTGCACCGCTCAAGTTATGTAACATCTGGCGAGTCAAGTTAAGATCTGGAAGATCAAATTAAGATCGGGAAGATCAAGTTAACCTGATCTACCATAATTGCATATTAACTATCAGAACTGTTTTTGGTCATGCAATGCGCGCTGACTAAATCCCGCCCGGCCTGCGAACCGCAGCCCCTGACCCAGGCCGAAGGAAACACCGCGTCTGGTGGCCGCGACTGGCCGCCTTGGCGGGCGGGCGCGCGCAAGGCGGCGGCGCTGCAGCGCAGAAAGCAGGCAAGAAGAAAGCGGAAGGAGGAGGATGAGGACAAGGACGAATGGGGAAACGACCGCCGCGCACAACGCGCGGCGATGTTGGCCCGCTGGATCGCACTCCGCTGGGCCTCCCAGGAGCTCACGAAATTGGCTGCCGTTGCGCAGTTCGCGGCTCCCCCAGGGAGGGCGAGGTCCCGCTTGGGCCCGCGCGCTCACCGCGTCCCGCGGGACCTCTCCGGGAGCTCACGACAGTGGTGGCAATTACGCAGCTGGCAGCGCTCGGGCAGGGTGAGGGCTCACATGGGGCCGCTTAAGGGCCGAGTCCTGCATTGCTGACAATACTTGTATCCACATCCAATGCGTTTTGAAGTCGTTCGGAAGGGGCGCCGCAAGGCCGAGGCGCATTGGATATGGCTAAACACATCGAGCCTCTTGGGGCCCGAATTTTATCCATAGTCAGTGCGCTTCGGCTTTCTTGGGGAGATAGCCCGAGACTTCAAGCTGCAGTGGATATGGACGCAAGTCTTGCTCAAGAGTCTCTAACCCTGATGACACAGTGCATTCCTGGCCCCACTTGGGTCCCGTCGTTGCACCAGGGACACCTCATCTGGGCGGTTTGGTTGGATGCATCAGCAGAGTAGACCCCCACCATTAAGATGTGTTTGGCTCTCCTAACTGAGGTCCCTTCTCAAAGGGTTGGGGATCCTTTTACTGCTAATCAGCTCCGCTGAACCCCACAGGGTTTCCACGACACTGTTTACAGTTGCCAGGTTGCCAGCCCCAGGGAGTGCGAGGTCGCGTTTGGGTCCGCGTACGGGTCGCACCGTGCGGGACCTCCCAAAAGTTTACGACCTTGTCTGCTGCTGCGCAGTTGCCAGTTTCCAGGGAGGGCGAGATAACGATGCCGACAACGACGAACACAACGATAACAACGATCAATGCTTTTCTTCTGCTGTACCCAGTGGGACTACGTGACGCGAGATGAAAGAATTGCTCTCGGATGGATGGTCCTCGGCGAGCCTTGTTTCATCTCGTGTCCGTGTCACATGTCACATACTCTCACTGTGTACAGCAGGAGAAAAGCATTGATCGTTGATCGTTGAAGCTGATTCCGCGCACGGTCCGCATTCCGCTGGACCTCCCCAGAGCCAAGCAGAGTGGACAGCCTCCACAGAGGGCCAGATCAATTTTGGGCCCGCTTGGGAACCGCACTCAGGTGGACCTCTAGGGACCTCATGAATGTGGCGACAGTTGCGCAGTTGGCAGCCCCCAGGGAGGGCGAGGTACAGTCGGACCGAGATACAAGAGGTTCGGGAGGGTACCCTGATATTCTTCGTGTTTCTTGTATGCTCTTGTGCATCCTGGGGAGGGTACCCCTGGGAGTTCTGTGCGTTTTCGCTTGCGGAGGGTCTCATGTTCCTGAGGGATGTTCCTCTGGTATAGGGCCCAGGTCCGACTTAGCTGGCAGGCAGGACACAAGAGGTGGGAACACGCTGCGTTTCACGATGTTGGCTGCCCAGAGCCCTACACGGTACTCCCCAGGAGCGCCCAGAGGTGCCCGCAAAGGAGGCGGTCCGAATTCTAGTCCCTTTAGCACCTACGCACGGGTATGAGCCGTTGGGATTCCATTGCGTGCTCAAGGTGCAGTGGCGCGCATGTAGGAACAATTCTCGGCCGCGAGGCTTTGAGGGAAAGAGGAGGATGAGGAGGAGGGAGATTCTCGCGGGGGCGGCGCGAGAGCGCACTTACAGCCGTGTTTCTCGTGTGACGTTGGGCAAAGCGCATGCTCAGAACATCCACGTACCACCTGTAGGAGGAGCATTCGTCTGTATGCCATGCGCACCGATGTCTCGCCCGCAGGACGAGACGAAGAAGGTCGCCCTTACTCAGATCAACCGTGGCCGCCTGGGAAACCAGTTGTTCCAATGGGCGGCGGGTGTTGAGCGAGGAGGGTGAGGAGGGGGGGAGGGGAGCAAGGGTGGAGGGGAGGAGTAACAGGGAAGGGCAGGGACTCGGTCAGGGGCAGGAGGGATAAGGTCGGAGGATCGTGGAGGGGAGGGGGGGAGGAGTGCGGAGGAGGAAGGCAGAGAGGGAGAGGGAGAGCGGGCGGCATCAACTGTGAGTCGGGGCAGCGAGGCTCCGGAATTCCCCCGCAGTTGTCTTTTTGTCTTCCCCCGCGCAGAAACATGCAGCAGCCAGATGACACAAAGGATGCATCAGGTGATCGACACAGTCTGGTGATGAAACGATTATTTGCATTTCGTATCCAGCTGCTTGGCATTCTGCTGCAGGGGGCACGGTGGCGGTCCCAGTGTGGACCTTTAATCCTCTGGTCAGTTTCCTTTAGCTCAGGGGCGTGGAACGCACTTGGCAGCTCGTTGGCGGATGACGGGAAGCGCGCTCAGAAGCCTCCAGGCTCAAGGATTCGTTCAGGCCTCTCGCCGCGCCTGGGTGGGTCGCAAGTCCCACCCGCACATCATGCACATTCTGATTACGGTACACGTTTTCAGTATTGCCATGGCTTGTCTTGTGCTGTGATGGCGTGCGGAGGTGAGCGTCGTCGTCTTGCCCAGGATGACAGAACCACCATTGCAAGACTCTATGCACTCGTGGGAGTGGTGGGAAGAAGGGCACAGAGATCTTCGGTTTTTCATCACGCGATTTGCTCGTATGCAAATAGAGATTGTTGGCACATTCTTGAAAGTGGGTGATCTGCTGTTGGAGTTGGGATCTGATTGACGTCTTTCCTCCGGTGGCGGTGCTGCCTGCTGCTAGCAGTATTCACTCCGACGGCATTGCCTGGCCGGTCCTCCCCAATTTTGTTCATGCGCAACATGTTGATCTGTGTACACCCTTGATGGCCATGCCGTCTCGCGGCGCAATGCTACCCTTGTGCTCCCGCCGGTAACAACCTTGCGGTCGAAGACGGTCGGTGGCGACGCAAGGTGGAAAACTTGGAGAAGTCCGAGATGCACGGTGTCTTGCGTTCGCGCCTACCCCCCCATGCGAGTCCGGTTCTGTTCTGAGGACGTCGGCCATGCAATTCGGAACAGTCGCGGTCAGCCGCGCCCCCCGCGCAGAGGTCGGGGTGCGGCGCGCCGCCGCGGCTGCCCGCCTACAGAGGTAGGCAGGAGGCGCGGCGGGCCCCATCGGCACCTCCGTCAAGGCACTGCATGCACCTATTTTCACGCTTTGCCTCTTTCGGTGACGTTCACAACCTCAAGTCGTTGGCACTGCTTGCGCCTGTTGTAAGGTGATTCGTTGATATCGCGCGAAGCTTCAGAGCAATGTGGAAGTAGCGTCAGCCAAAAAAAGCGCGTTCAGACTCGGAGGGTCGCGCGGTGAACGTTGGGGTCCAGTGGGGAATCGCTCGGGATTCTCCCCGTGGCCGGAAGGTTGCGGATGATGGGAAGCGCGCTTAGATTCGAATGGTCGCGCGTTGCTTGGGGCCGCGCCGGGATCGGAACGCGGCAGGCGACGGGAAGCGCACTTAGACTCGAAGGGTCGCGCGGTGGACTTACTTCGGTGGCCTAGGATTCCACCTCCGCGGGGGCGTGTCGGATGACGGGAAGCGCGCTTGGACTCGAGTAATCGCGCGATGAATTGTGGTTATTGGCCTGGAGGGTTTTGTTATGTGAACTAGGCGGGCCCAGGGGGCTTGCTGACCCCGTGGACGGCGAGGTCCCACTCTTCTCTGCCAACCCGTCACTCCGCGACAGTGGCGAACGTGGCGACAGCTGCGCATATCGCAGCCCCCAGGGACGGCGGTCTTCTTTTTTACATCGGGAATACGCCATTCCGCTGGACGTCCGAGTCCAGGGGCCCACGAACGTGGCGACGGTCGTGCAGTTCGCAGCCTCCCATGGACGGCGAGGTTTCATGTCTCATACTGATATGCACCCCCAGGAGCGCTCGAAAGTGGCGACAGTTGCGCAATGCGCAGCCCTCCCCCCCAGAGACGGCGAGGTCTCATTCGGATTTGCGTAAGCCACCACGCCGCTGGACCTCCCGGGGTCCCACGAAAGTGGCGACACTTTTGCAGTTCGCAGCCCCCCCCCCAGGGACGGCGCGGTCGCATTCTGATTTGTGTAAGACGCCACTCCGCTGGACCTCCCAGGGGCCCACGACTGCGGCGCCGCTCTTGCACTCCGCAGCCCCCCAGGGACGGCGGGGTCTTCTTCTGAGGTGCGTACGACGCCACTTCGCTGGGCCCCGCCCCCCCACCCAGGAGCCGAGCGTGGCGACGGTTTTTTGCAGCTCGCAGCCCCTGGGGTCGGCGAGGTCTTCCTTTGACATCCAGAATGCGCCACTCCGCTGGGCCTCCCTTTCCTCCTCCTCCTCCTCCTCCTCCTCCTCCTCCTCCTCCTCCTCCTCCTCCTCCTTGCTGTGGCCCCTCTGCTTCGTCATCCCTGCTCCGCCCCGGCGGGGGTCCTTCCCCCCCAAGGGTCGGCGAGGTTTTCTTTTGACATCCGGAATGCGCAACTCCGCTGGACCTCCGAGTCCAGGGGCCCACGAAAGTCAGGGGACCGAGCAATGACATAAACAGAATAATTCGGAGGGCCGCGCGGATTCCTCGGATCGGCGCTGGGGCCCCCCTGGCGGCGCCTCCGGCGGCGCCCCTGGCGCGCTCCGCGCGCCAGGGAGGAGGGTCCATCGCGGATCCGAGGAATCCGCGCGGACCTCCGAGTTTTTATGTTTATGCAATTTTTCCTTTCCCCTAAAAGTGGCGACAGTTGCGCAGTTCCCAGCTCCAGGGGCGGCGAGGTCCCATTCTGGTCTGCGTGAGACGCCACCCCGATGAACTCCCCAGGAGCACACGAAAGTGGCGCATATTGGTAGTTCGCAAGGGACGGTTTCGCAGGTCGCAGCCCCCAGGGACGGCGAGGTGTCATTCTGATCTGCGTACGATGTCAGTAATTACTGGACACCGCAGTAGCACACGAACATGGCGACGGCTTCCCATTCGCAGCCCTCAGGGACGGCGAGGTCGCATTTGGACCTGCGTAAGAGGGGCACACGAACGTGTTGCCAGTTTTGCAGTTCGCACCCACCCCTGCCAGGGACGGCGAGGTTTCATTCTGATTTCTGCGGAGGGGATGTTCTCGAATGGTCGCGGCTTGGTGAGACCGCATCCTCCGAAATAGCGTCTTGGGAGGACGTTTGCACGAGGGGGGATTCCAGGGAGGACGTTTGCACGAGGGGGGATTCCGAACCCGTACACCCCCCCCGAAGTTACAGGCACTCTCTAGCCTCCCTTCCGTGCGCTGGCGAGCGACGACGTGGACAGTGATGACGACAGCGGCAGCGACGACGGCGACTACAAACAACGAGCAACAAGCAAGCATCGAGTGACGAGCGAACACGACGAGCGACGACCCTGACGCTGACGACGACGACGGCGTTGACGACGATGAAGCCGAGGAGAACGCTGACGCTGACGGCGACGAAGACGACGACCTTTGGCGCATCAACGAGCGATGTGTACATTTAGTGTCCCGCCCGCCCGACCCACCCGTGAGGGTCCAGCTTGACTCGCCCAGGGCCAGGATGATAAGGAGGAGGAGGAGGATGAGGAGGAGGGGGAGGAGGAGGAGGAGGCACGACCAGATCGAAACGGGTGCGCAGAGCGAGCGAAAAGGGGGGAAACGAGACGGGAAAAAGGCCGAGGGCGCGCAACCTGACGATTAAAGAGAGAACAGCCAGAGACGAAACCTCGGACTACCGCAGACGAAGCCAGAAGCAGGCATCATCTGTGGGGAAGAGAGGACGGGGCTCACCCCGCCACTCGCCTGAACAGGGGTCTCTACCCACCATCAGGCGCTTCAAATAGGTGGAGTCCTTGCTGGATGCAATTCCCTCGCACGGCCCCCACAAACGCGAACGAGGGGCCGACGGCTGGGCCCTGGCGCCACAACGAAGGCAGAATGCAAGGGTCTCACCAGCAAGACTAATTTGATGGCCTCTAGCACTGCTGGGCCCAACAGGGCCTTGAGCGGGGAGAGGAACCTCAGGGCGGGTGGCCTCACGCGCAACCCAGGAAGGCCCACCAGGACCCCCAGAGGTCCGAGGGCGCTTGGAGGGCGGAGGCCCCCCAAGCTCCCCAGAGCCCGCAGGCACACCGACCCCCGAAGCCGAGGGCGCCACCCCAGTCCGAGGCGCCTTCGGACGAGGCCCCTCCAGGGGCCCACCAGCCCTGCGGTCCCTCACCGTCCTGGCAGGAGCGGGGGGGGCGGCGGTGGGGGGGGCTCTCGTGGGCCCAGGGAGCGTGCCTCTATGGCGCGCCGACGCGCATCCCCTACCTCAGCATCAAGCTGGTCCTCACCCACACCATCCACCTGAAATCTCACCCGCTTGAAGGCCAAGGTCCGCTCAAAACCCTCAGTCGCGACGGGCGGCGGCCTCTCTGGCCCACTTGGGGCTTCAACAGCACGAAGCTCCAAGGAGGGGCCAACCTCAGGGGGGGCCGAAACGCACCCGCCCGACCCACAAGGGCAGGAGGAGGAGGAGGAGGAGGAGGAGGAGGAGGAGGAGGAGGAGGGAGGAGGAGGAGGAGGAGGAGGAGGAGGAGGGAGGAGGAGGAGGAGGAGGAGGAGGAGGGAGGAGGGGAGGGGGAGGGGGAGGGGGGGGGAGGGGGAGGGGGAGGGGGGGGAGGAGGAGGAGGAGGAGGAGGAGGAGGAGGAGGAGGAGGAGGAGGAGGAGGAGGAGGAGGAGGAGGAGGAGGAGGAGGAGGAGGAGGAGGCGGAGGCGGAGGCGGAGGCGGAGGCGGAGGCGGAGGGCGGAGGCGGAGGCGGAGGCGGAGGCGGAGGCGGAGGCGGAGGCGGAGGCGGAGGCGGAGGCGGAGGCGGAGGCGGAGGCGGAGGCGGAGGCGGAGGCGCGGAGGCGGAGGCGGAGGCGGAGGCGGAGGCGGAGCGGAGGCGGA